CCTATGGATGACTTCACCTACTGCAGGGAGAGGAGGGGATTTCAGGGAGCATACTTTCTGCTTCTTCCCTGCTTTTTGCACCACATTTCTGGCAGGAACTGCATTTTTCTGTAAATACAGTTCCTGTGGAAGCAGCTCCTCCTCCACAATCCCAGCTCTCTCATCAGGATCCACCAATATAATTTCCATTCCTATGTCTTTAGAACTAGGAGTGCTAATGGCTTTTGGCCACTACAAGTCGCTAAGCATCTCAATAACCCTTGTTTGTCCTGTAACCTTGCCCATAATTCTATAAATGATCTCTACATTAACTCTCATTTAAACCACTGGAGAGAATTCGGATTTTTTTAAAAAATTTGTTCTGAGAGATTTTTGCTATAGGGCATATGCACTTGTCAGAGAGAGACAGGGAGAGACAGAGAGACAGAAAGTGAAAGTAAGGAATCATATCACCACCACCACCACCCCACCCTCACCCCGGGAATGGTCACAGTGAAATCTCTTCTCCATTCTCCCCTCAGGATTTTAGGCATACACACGTAGTGGTCATAAATTTTATGTCACAGGGTCTGGGACTTGAACCATGGTCAACTACACAGGAGTTCAGCAATGTAACCGTTACACCATCTGCTGGTCCCAAGAATTTAGATAACTGATTCAGATACACAAGAGAAACTGAACAGAGAACTAAAGTGAAAAGCTAATAAGCAGATTTCCAATATCTTTTCTAAGTATTGGGTTGTCAGAAAAGGCATGACCTGTTTTTGACTTTTCTGATGACCCAATATTTGAAAGAATTGTTGAATAGTATAATTGAATAGTATAATTATGTTCCTCTATCACTATGTTGAATTTCTGGATTGACAGAGATCATTTATATAGGCTGGATGTTGCAATAAGTATAGCCTATTATTTTTTTCCAAATCACCTTTTCTCCAAAAATATGACCAACACTTTCAAAAGTCTTGCTCAAATAAACATGTTGATATATTTCCAATATACCATAAACACAATTAAGTTTCCATCATTCTTATGAAACACGTTAGCCTCTATTGAACACCTTTTTCTTTTCAGAAGAAAAGAAACAAAATACTAAGTAATACACTCTATGGCTTTGCTGGAGAATGAAATTCAACCTACTAAACTAAGATACTGGTGTTTTCCTTCGAGAACTTCCTTTTGAATCATTATTTTTAAAAGGAATATTTAACTCTCCTTAATTTTTGTGCACATTCCTGCATCCCAGTACTTGTCACAGGTGACTAGCAGCGAGGTAGGTAATCATTTCTGTAAGTTCCCTGATCATCCTCGATGATACATACCTTACTTTATGGTCCTGAATACCTTTAAAGAGGTCGATAGTGTACGAGCTATCACTTACTGAGGACCAAATAGATAAGCATCTCAGTGCTTGGGATCTATTCATACACACTGAATTTCAACTGCTGTTTCTTCTACACATTATGGTTTTTAATAAAAGAAAAGCAATTTGTTTTAATAAATTACTTTTTACCCAACAGGAGAATTTTTTTCCCCTTTAAATGTAAAGAAATTGGCCCTTTTTCTCCAGTTAAATGTTTTTCCCTCATCTCATTTTGGTCTGGCTCTAACATAACTCTTATACTATTGTTATTATTTGTATCCTTTTTTATTTCATTGTCTTTGTATTATTCTCCTACCTCCCAACATCTATACTTGTTCTCTCAAATTACCATCCTATGCATTCCCTAGAGTTTCTTCAGATTTAGCATTTTTTTCTCATTGGATTATTTGAAAATTCAGAGCAAAAAGAACACTTTATTTTACTTCCCATCTCTCTTCATTTGTATTATTACTGAGAGTTTCTATCACATTTTCCCATCTAGACTACAAGATTGGGTTAAAAAGAACTGAATCGACCATTTCTCTTTCTCCAAAGACTACTTACCACAGCATCTTACACAAAAATGTGTGTTTGCCTTGTATTTGTACTATAGTATTAGAGGGAAGAACTAATACTAAGTCAAAGTTCATATTCTGTTTAAAAAGTTTCTGGAGGAGGGGTACTAGGTATATATTCACAAATAAATAAATATGGGAACAGCAAATGGGACTATAAGATAAAATAAAAATAGCCAATCTCAAAGTACTATAGGGAAGCAGTCGTCTGTTTTACAGAGTTGTGAGAAGCTACCGTAGGGACGCTGCTAGAGTTATACAGAGGAGGCTAGAGAGTAGTTGGAAAAGTAGACCATGGAGAAGACTTTTTAAAATTTACTTGTCTAGAGGACCAGCAATTAGTGTAATGGCTATGTCGCTGGACTCCCACGTAGTCGACCGCGGTTCGCGTCCCAGACCTGGTGGCTTAAAAACTCATGCCAGGTGCATGTGCATGTGTGTCCAAGATCCCGAGAGGAGAATGGAGGAGAAGGGATTGTGGCATGGCTATCCTTCCTGGGGGGTGATTTCTCACTTTCTGTCTCTCTGTCTGTCTCTGTCTGGTGAGTGCACGAGCTCTATAGCAAAAACCTCTAAAAAAAATTTTACTTGTCTAAGTACAGTTAATGTTCAAAAAGCATCAATTTATTGAAATATAAGCAAGTGACTAATATTACAACACTCCCAGCATTCTTTTCAGATTTTAATCAATATCATTTATAGCTGTATCTACCATCACCTTAATCTATGCGGCCACTTTCTATAAAAGTGACTCCTAACTTTTCCTGAGGATCCACCACATGCAATTACACAAACTCAGCAGAGTGGATCCAGGTTTAATGGCCGAGAGCTTACACACTGGGAGGGGCCCCTTTTTTAAAAGAATACAGATTCACAAATACAGACTTAGACGGAAAAACAAACTTTTACTCAGAAAGAGAAAAGAAATCTCACCTCATGATTGGTGCCATGGAGATCTACATTCCTTACTCTGAGATAGCTGTAGGCAATGTACCAGAAATGCTTGTTCAGAAGCTCTCTGGCAGTAACCTATCATTTTCTCCCCTGTGGAACATCTGTAACTCCAGCACACCCCACTGCTCCCAGAGGCCTAAGTAAATGAACAGTTCTGAAGCTTACATTTTATTAGCTTCACCTGAGGTCCGCCTCAGCCAACAGGGCCTCATTAAAGCATTGATTCTTAAGGGTCAGTTGGGATACTTAGAATCTTGAGAGAGCCATGCCACCTGGCATGTTTTAAACAATTCCAGGGACCAGCAGTTAGCATAATGGCTGTGTCACTGGACTCCATGTAAACGACCGCAGTTGGAGTCCCAGACCCCGTGGCTTAAACCCACGCCGGGCATATGTGCGTGCGTGCCCAAGATCTAGAGAGGAAAATGGAGGAGAAGGGATTGCGGTGTGACCATCCCCCCTGGGGGGTGATTTCTGACTTTCCGTCTCTCTGGCAAGCGCATGTACCCAAAGCAAAAACCTCTCAAAAAGAAAAAGAAAAAGAAAACAATCCAAGGGGATTCTAATGCATCTTTAACACTCCCAACACTCTCCTCCCTCCTACCTCCAGCTGGAAGTTTCTCAAGGCATAACCACAACAAACTACTATCCATGGACTTACAAAGCAGTGTAAAGAAGGAAAGTAAATAATCAACCAACTGGCCAAGTGTCCTTGATCAGAACATAAACTATGCCTGGAATATAAAACGGTAGCAGTTAACCTTTTGCAACTAACCATACATAATTCTATTGTCATACAAACATAAATAGAGAGCACAAAACTGTAATATTCTTTCTCTATAACTACAATACAACTAGGACTACCATTCGATTCGCCTTTAAAAAAAAATGGGTTTGACATGACTTCAGAGCCGAAGGATGCTTGTTCGCTTTCTAACTGTCGTTCACTCTCCCAGAATAAAGGCAGTGGGTAAGGTAGGCTGCTTTCCCTCACATCTCAAGGTAACGTTTAACTGTTGCACAGACTTCTTAGTAATTAATACAATGTTCTACTCTGAACTTAAAGCTCCTATCAGCGGCAACTTGAGAAACTCAAGTGACGTTTAACCGCCCTGCTGGAAAGGTACTTTCTTTTCCAAAAGCCTTTAAAAAGGAACCACCGAACTACACGCACCAAACGCGTACTACTAACCCCCCGCCCGTCGATGTTTCTCCAACTACAATATAATCGAAGGGACCTTTGGTCGTACATTTTGCCAAGGAAGAGAAAAAACGAAAGCGGCCCTTGTGGGCTGGACCTCAGACGCTGACCATTCGAAAAACCCCTCGCTCCGCAGCGAAAGCTCTGCCTGGGTACTCGCAACCTTTTCTCCTGCTAAGAGCATTTCCTGACACCCATTCCCGCTGGTCATGACACAAACCTCAGTGTCCCCAAGTCCCATATCCACAATCAACAACACTAAATAAAAAACAACGTCTCTAAACTGGCGACTGATTGCTTTCTCTCCGAGTTCGGGGCTGGCCGCGCCCGGAAAGAAGCGGGTGCAGTTTCGAACCACCCTCCTCCTGGGATCGGGCACTGTCGCGAGGAGATGCCCCTGTCAGAGAAGGATAAAGAGGGAAAAGTCACAACTTTGAAGACTCCACGAGGCCAGAGCGCGACCGAGCAGAAGGTCAAAGTGCGGAGAAG